AGCCAATACTCAATCAAGAAGTAGATGTGAGAGCATTAAAGAGAAAATTTCAATTAGGAACATAAAATTAGGCATCAGATTTACACTTGGTTCCTATGATTTAGAATTAGAGAATTTAAGGACTGAAATATAAGTGGAGAGATAAATGAAGGAAGCATAAGAAAAAATAAATCATCTTGGATTTCTTGGTTCTACCCTTTTCTACTCCTTCAGAAGAACCACATTTTATCAATTAATATATAAATATGCTCTAGTACCTCTCATACATGAAAATGGAAATCTCCATTATGCTGGGCATGCCTTTCAGAACATTACCCAAGTCCTTTTATCTTTACCAGACATCTTTAAAGAGTTGTCTCTTTCTTTATTTGCATCTGTGCCTACACCTCACAAATGGGAATATTGCTTCTAATCACATTGCTCTTCTCAAACTGTGGTCACGAGGACCTTAGATAATCTCTCCTATGACAAAGTCAGTGGACCCAATTTTCAGACTTCATTTGTTCAATTTCTTTGTGGCATTTGGAAATACTGACTATTTAATCTAACTTGAAATTCTATCCTCCTTTGCTTTCTGGGACACCGACTTCTGACTCTCCCACTCTGCTGTCCACTGTTTGTTACTTAGTTGGTGGGCACCCTTTTCTCCACCTACCTTTAGTGTTCATATCTCAAGTTTCCTCCCAGTCTTAGGTCTCTGTCTCTTCCTTCTTCTTACTTATACATTGGATAATTCCACTCATTTCCATGGCTCAAGCAATCAACAATATGTTGACATACACATTTCTAGCAGGGTTCTTGATATTTTGATGTGGCTTTGATTCAACCTTCAAAAGAAACCTTTTAATTTTCATCCTCATAATGCTCAAAACTGGCAGTCTCATCTTATTCCTGGGCTTCATCCTATTAAATTAAGCATATTTTTATTGTTGAACTATAGTCAACCATCCAAAAAAAACAAATAGTTTATATAATGTTTAAGCAGATACGGTTCCTAAAAAAACAAAAATATTTCCAAATCTCTTTAGGAAGCTAAAAAAAACCTGACAAAATTAGCCCAAGCTCAGTTAAGTCTGAGGAAAAACATATACCAATTAAGAATGTAATTACAAAATTCTAAGTTAAATATTAGCAACTTGAATTTAGTATTATGGTAAATTTGTAGTTTATTTAGAAATGAAACAAGAAAAAAACATAACCATGTAAATAGATGCTCAGTAGTCATTTGATAAAATTTAAAATTCATTCTCATGCTCATGCCTGAAAAACAAAGAGATCTGATTTAAATTATACCTTATCCATTATAGCTGTTTTCCCACTGGACAGGTAAATGAACCGTTTTTGGACCGCAGTTCCACTAATTTTTAAAATGAGTTTGCCTAGATTGCCCTAAATCCTCAGTTTGAAATATCAACACATCTTGTCTTTTTTATAATATTCTTTTACCTTTGAAATTACACATTTAACTTCTGATCTCCCCACTACACTTGCATTGCTCTCCACAATGTGTACCTTAATATGTGTGTGTACACAAGCAGTTACAGAATTTGTGAGGCCAAGTTACAAAGTGAAAATGAGAGTGCTTTTGTCAAAAAATAATTAAGAATCACAAGATAGTGACAGCAAAGCATTAAACCAAGCATGGAGCCCTTCTAAGCACCACACAAGCCCCTGGGCAAGTACACAGAACATATGCCCATTAAAAATGTCAAACTCGTGTGTGTGTGTGTGTGTGTGGGTGTGTGTGTGTGTCCAAAATGTGTTGAATATTATGCCTGTACAATTAAGTCACAGGAATTTAGGAAAATATCTATAAACAGAACAACAACTAGCATTCAGATCTCAGACTATCAACAATAGTTATAGTTAGGTAAAAATAGATCAATAATTAAGGAAATATTTTCAGATTACCAACAATTGACTATTTTGATTGAAGGCTCTACACAGGGGTCTCCAACCTGTGGCCCACAGGCTATACACAGCTCTGGATGGTCATGAGTGTGGCCTAACACAAAATCATAAATTTACTTAAAACATTATGAATTTTTTTTTCTTTGTGATTGTATGTAGCACTGTATTTAATGTGTGGCCCAAGACAACACTTCTTCTTCCAGTGTGGCCCAGAGATGCCAAAAGCTTGGACATCCCTGCTAGAACATTAAGAAAGACACTGATTAACCTTTAACAACTCACTTTTTAAGTTGACTTTTATATCCTCTTATTTCATTTTTTTATTATATTTTATATTAATAAATATAATTTATTTATATATACTTTCATATGGAAGTGCTCTGCTGTGCCCACCATAATATAAAATTATATTTTATATTAATAAATATAATTTATTTATATTTACTTTATTTATATATACTTTCATATGGAAGTGCTCTGCTGTGCCCACCCAATCCTGAGAATGTTGTCTTCTTTCTTGGTTGCATTTATTGGTTGTAACTTATAAACTTTACATAGGGTTTCCATGTTGACTTTTCTGCACAATTCCCTGAAGCTATGAGTAAACATAATAATAATCACTCCATTTCTCTAATCACAAAAATATTAGCATATAAAAATTCACAGACATTTTGTCATTGTCCATCTGTCTTAAAAAAAATAATGTTCAGTTTATCAAAATATCAGCAATTCATTTAAGACTTTATTTTGGAATTTTCTTCTGATAGAAAAATAATAACTTTATGGTGAGAATGCATCCACTTTCACACAACAAAAATTCCAGATCCTTTATGAATATCTTCTGAAGAGTGATTCTTTACCTTTGGGGTCAGAATGAGGAATTTAACTTTCTCCTGGAGCTCTGAATACTTTCTCCTCATGCTTCCCCAATGTTTACTTATGGACAAGCCCTTATTGTGCCAGGTTTTATGGTGATTGCATGAAAAAGAAAGACAGATTTCCTCACGAGGAAGCTATTGATAGATGTTCTCTTATCTGTCCCTGAAAAGTAGCGTGGTGGGGTGGGGGGATGTGGGCAATTTCTATACCTCAATGCCACTGTCAAGGATAATAAATAACCAACCTCAGTGTGTTTAGGTACTGAATTCTCTTTTAAAAGTCACTGCAGCCTCCTGTGTGTCCATGCTCACCTGCACTCTAGATTCCAGTCATATGGAAGTGCTCTGCTGTGCCCACCCATTCCCTCTCCTTCTCTCATTTGCATCCTCCTCTCTCTCTTCACTATTTCCCTCTGCGCTCACATCCTTTCTCTCTCAGGCATGTTCCCATTCATGCCTTCTCACTCTGTTGTGGTCTTACTCTGTCCCTAAGTAGTCCTGTCTGAATGCAAGAGTCTAGATACTGTACTAAGTTGAATGAAACTTAGCTGGGATAGGGGAGAAACAGGACAGTGTGGCTGGAGCCACAGAGGGTCAGAGGGGCAGTAGAGCCCCTAAGGTTACCCAGGACCTTAGAATTGGTGCAATTGGAAGTAGCCAGACTGATATGAGGAGAAGGGGTCGCGGGCAAGAGTGAAACCTGGCCATTCTGGACTGCAGGGTGTTAATGGTTGGACCACAGGCAAGTCCCAGAGCTGGGAGGCTGGATTTGGATGTTTAAGAGGTAGAGATGGTGGGACTGTGGATTGGATGTAGGGCATGAGACTAATACATGATTAGAAGATCCATGTTTCAGGCTTGATCAACTCTGTCTCGCTCTCTATTTCATTGCTATCTCCTTTCTTCCCTCCTTCTCCCCAGAACAAAATCTGGAATGCTCCTATCCCCAGGTGAACTCCCAATGGGGTCTCAATTCAGAAACCACAACCTCCAGAAACCTTTCCTAGGGTCTCCACATTGGGGCAAAGATGCATCTACACCATGCATGGCCCTGTACCCCACCTGGCATTAGTTTCTACTTGATTTGTAAGGACTTCTACCTCAGGGTTCCATGCACAGACTCCGGAGCCAGAATGGAGCAGGATTGTGTATAAGCTCCCACACCAACTAGTTAGGTGAACTCTGCCAAGTTAGTTAAGGAAGTCTCAGTTCCCACGTCTGTGAAGTACAAATAAGAAAACTGTCTACCTCACAGAAAATGCTGTATGAAACCACATGTGCAAAATGCTTACTTAGCATAATACTACCACAAAACAAACGAGAGATACATAATAGCTGCCATTATTATAGCCGGTTTTACTTTACACTACCCACCTTCATTTAAGCAGAGCTTCTGCAGACTACAATTCAGATAAATGTGAGAATCAGTTATTTAACTATGATAAACTCCATTTTCTCCACCTTTTTGGGGCTTTGATTTCCTGATCCAAAGATACTACTTACCAGCGTAGGTGGACCCACAGGGTTATTTTCCCCTAAGGTCTCACCTGAGCAGGTGCATCTACAAAGAGCAGAAAGAGACGGATGATAGGGGTTGAAGGGGCCGAGGGTGTGACTGCCTCAATCCCTCGTACTTTCTTTCTTTAGAAGACTGCTTGGCATCAGCCACCACACCCACGGCCAGAGCTGCTACGCCCCCTCCCTGGCGTCCACTTGCAATAGCCCAGCTTTCGCCCTATACTTTCGTCGCTTCCGTGACACAGTGGCAACCGATGCTTGCCTATTCCAGTGACCTAGCCCTGCCAAGCGGCTAGAGGTCATCCGGAAAGCGTCTTGCCTCGAACCGCTCTAATTCAGAACGCCCCCTCGGTCCTCCTGCGTAGTCCTCCTCTAGCCCTGGTCTAGGTTCACAAAAAACGCCAGGGGAGTACACAGGTGCGCGGAGGGAAGGGGCCACTGAAGGCGCCCCTTGATGAACCCAAAGCTCGAACCTGCAGACCCAGCGCGAAGTAGAAACTGAAAGTACACTGCGGCTGATCCTACGGAAGTTCTAGGAAAGGCAGAGGGCCCAGCCGGGCCGTGGCGTGTGTCGCTCCCCCCCACCCCCTCCCCTGGGATGGATGAAGCAGCGGGCGCGGCGTGGGGCAGAGGAACCAGCCGCAGAGGCGGCAGCCCGGCCCGACTCCCGGCACCTCGGCGCACACCGTGGTCCTGGCAGTGACCATGGGCTGTGAGAGTCCGCTCCTGCTGCAGCTGCGGTCATCATGACCACGCCCGCCTCCCGCAGACCATGTTCCATGGTAAGCGCTCCGCTCCCGGCGCACAAGTTCGCGTGCCCGGCACGCTGGGGGCTCCGGGGCGCGCGGCCGGGCCCCGCGCCCAGGCGCGTCCGGGAACAGCCCGGCCTTGCACTTTGGACCTGCAGAGAACACTGGCTCTCCCACAAGCAGCCGGCAGCTGCGTCGTAGTCCCCTGGCCCAAAGCCACTGGCACCAGGGGCAGCTGCGCCGGGGAGGTTGCGAGAAGCCGTCCCCAACTCCAGCTTTCTGTCCCGGGACCGAGTGTCGCAGCCTCTGCGTGGGTCAGCTGGAGCAGATGGGTCTCTGAGGGAGACGAGGGCTCTGTTCGTCGTCCTCAGCAACGCTGCCTTCGGTCCCCTCGACCAGACACCCAGCTGGCGTCCCTGACTCCAGATTACTACCCACGGGCGCCCGGCGTCGGGGATCACCTGGTCTCGTACAGCTCCCAACTCCCAGAAGAAGTGAAAGCGCGGCTCCCACGAGACGTGCTTTTAAACCCTAAGGGGATATGACTCTGGAAAACCCCGTTTTCCTCCCTTAGCGAGGCTGGGAGTTTCCGACAGGGGCTGTACCTTGTGCCTTTTGCCGGGAACCGAGTCCTCGGGCTGGCACCGGGAGAGGCCAGTTTCAGGTTTCTGTTTCTCCTAATTTATTTGTACGGATTACAGACCTGAAATGGACAAGAGCAGAGAGGGGCGAGCTGGGTTCCGTTGGCAGCCATTGTGGCCAAAGTAAAGAGCCCAAAAGTTAACTGAAAGAAGGAGTGAGGCAAAAAGATGTGAGGAGAGATCTGCTGAGGGAAATTGGGATGTTTTACTGTACATACTTCCTCAAGCAAAAGGAGCCGGGTAGGGGAGAGTGCTGGAATAGGGAGCAACCCGTTGGTCAATTTGTTGCTTGGTCTGTGGGCTTTCGTGGCTCCACCGTGGGATCACAAGAGCCATTTCCTATCTCATAGGTATTAAAGAATCAAGAATTGACATAGCCCGGAATTAACAGACCAGTAACAAAATAAAGGGCCAAGGGTTACAGTATAGAAGGAAATTATGGAAGATTTATAATGGATATCCTCCAGAAGTTTATGGAGAATTAGAAATTAGATATATTCTTGTTTTCCTTTCAATGTCCATGGGTCTCCTGAAGTTACTTATTTCTGGATCGTTCCTGGTTCTATCTAATCCTTGCATCACCTCTGACCAGGAGTGGAAGGTAAAAATAAGAAAACGAAGCCAAGAGTGTACATTAAGAGTAATGAGTCTTTATTTTCTGAAATGTATCTATATTAATCATGTACCATGAATTGTTATCAGCAAGCCAATATTAGAATTCTAAACTTGGAATAATGGTTAGAAGTGGCGTTCTGCATTTTGTTTCAATACACTTCACTAGAAGCTTAAGGATAGTTACTCTTTATCCTTTTTCTTTGCTACTTCTTTTGAGAGTTGAAACTATTGAGGGCCTACTATATGGTCCTCAACTGTGCTACGTAGTTTAGATAATTTACTGATATTTGAGGGCCAAAAATGGAATGATAATAAAAACAGAGAGCTAAGAAAGATTAGAAAACTTGAACATGGATAGAAGAGTATTACATGCAATACCACATCAACATTTAAATATCTTAAACAAAAATGGAAAAGATCATTTCATAGGACTAACCTACATGTCTTATCACATGTGAGATTTTTTTTCTGGTTTCTCCTCTGATACATATATCCTAGTGTAATAACAGCAAATGGTAGTGGCTTTTTTCCTGGGATAAGGTATATGATGGCAGTGTTTCAGAACTTGGCCAGGGAGTATTGTAGTGAGGTCCATGTGAAGCAAAGTGTGTTGTTGTACCTTCTCTGTGACTGCACAACACACAGTTGTTATTGTTGTTTTTAATTAATTTATTTTTTTTAGGAAGCAGGGTAGGTTGGTGGTTAAAAGCTGTTTCTAGAATCTTCAACCTGATAACTTGAATTTGAAACTTGCTTCTAAATATATATGTAATCTTTGGGTTTCAGAGTCTCTATCTGCAAAAATATTAGTAATTGGCAGCTCTTAATTCATGAAATAGTTATGAAATATATGCAGTGTCATAGGATGGCTTCAGAAATGTCTATATTGTTTATCATAGGATTTGTGGATAGAATTTACAATCCATTCTGAATATGCTTATGACAATTATAAAATTTCTTTATGTGGGCATCATCATATTCATTTTTATAAATAACCTTAGAGGCCTGATTTCCATACAACATATGATTGTTTTATACTCTTCATTAACATTTTCTTTATTCACCCATTTGCTTGTGCCAATTGATCATATTAAAGCCAAGTCTTATACATTCAGATGTTTTCCAATCCATCCAGATTGTCTTTTTACCATTTTTGAAAATTTCCAGTGAAAATAGGTCTATGTAATGTTTTTAATGGACAATCAATTAACACTTATCGGTCTTAAAGGCCAATGAAAGATTGGATTTGATGGATTGTAGAAACTAATTTATTTATGTTCACTTTTACCCCATAACTTAAGTAGTTAAGGATTGAATGTATTATTTGGCTTAAATTAAAAACCAACAGGAATTTTTTAGATAACCATCATTTTGGTTTAACCAAATTCCCTACTGAAAACAAATTCTCCGGTTTCAATCCCTTCAGGAGATCTAAAGAAAATTCCACAAGTCCAAGTTTGCCTTGCATTATTCTTTATGGTTTGTCTTTTCTGTTACCTAATGAAAAGGTCAGGGTTGGGGGAAGTGTGGGTATTGATATATAATTGAAACAAAATAAGAGTCCTTTTCCCATTTTGACAGTGTTAAAACAAGCTCAAACCAGGCAATGTTAATGTTACTCTCTATGTGGTGTGGAGAAAGGATTTCAATTACAGACCAAAGTGCAAGGTATTAGCAAGAGAGCTGGTAATCTGTAAGATGTGGGTCCAAAGCCCTAGGTGTGTTTGCAGCATTGTCCATGAGCAATTTCAAATCTGAAGAGTTACTATATGTGGATGGCCAGGCACATTATGAGCAATAAGGTGCTTGAGAATTGGGAGTAACATGAAGGAATCATTTAGCCTCAAGTTTTCATTCTACAAATCAGGGAAGTGGAGCTTAAAAGATGTTCTGCCACTCATTCAGTCCACAACCCATCATCACACCAAGGCACAAATCCCATCTCCCCTCTGCAAACCATCAATGCTCTGCACTATCCTAGTCTTTCTGGGGTTAAATTATTTAACAATAATGGTAACAAAGGACACTTCTTAAGGACAAGTCAAATTATGTTTTAAAATCTGAAACTAGTTGTAATACACAAAAAGAAGACTGAATTTTCCACCAAGTTATCATTCAAAAACATTGATAAAATGCCTTTCAATGAATAAAAAGGCTTATGTGAATTTGGAAGTACAAATTATTAAAAGTTGAAATGAAGTAGACACAACAACTAGTGCTGTATATAAAAAATAAAACAACCTACTTTATTAAATCATAAAAGGAGTTCCTTTGAAATAAGTTATTTATACGAGTAAAATTGCCTCTATTGCACTCTAGTATTTAATTACTTTATTGTATTTTCCTTAAACCTCATTTCAAGTTAGATGCCAGATACTTTTCCTGTATCATCTACTCTCCCAGAGTACACCATGTGGACAGAGAAAAGTTCGTTTCTCTACAATCCAAACAAATCTGATTACAAAGTTAGGACCTGATAAATCAGTAGTAGTTGTTCACATTTGAGAATCTTCAGGATGAAGGGACAGTAGTGGAAGAGACAGGCAGAGCTGTATAATGTTGCATGGAAGTGGTTTGCATTCAGAAGACCAAAGTGATTATATATTATCAAAAGGTGATGGGAATTTCTGATCAAATCCTGGCAAGGCAGCAAGCTCAGGTTAAAATCTATATCTGGCATCTACTATCCATGTTTCAGAAAAGATTAACTTGCAGAACTCTTGTTCTTTAGAAATAATATGGATGTAACACTTAACAATGCTTGACACATTGTATGTATTCAGTTAAAGGCAACTAGTGTCATAATTATTATTAATCTCCTATGTGAATTATTGCTTTTCATGTGTATAAATATTTCATGCAGTGCAATGAGTAGATTCCATGTCTTATTTTGTTTCTCCTGCCTTTCCAAGTGTCAGTGACACATGAGGATGAGATTCATGTAGGATTCATATTTGCTTCCGTATCTGCTACCCACCCTGCTTTATTTGTAAAATATGGGTAATCAATAGCACATAATTTATTAATTGCTGCCAATTTTTATATGACAGATGCCAATATCATAGGTGACAATGTTATTGAGAACTTTGCAATATATGTAATAGTCTTTAGGTCATTGGCACAACATTAGTACCTTGGGCTCTAAGGAGTATTGTTTGTAATCTTAATCAGAGAAGGTGCACATGTGAAATATCTTGCACTCAACAAGTATAGTTAAAGTTCAGTTGGGGAATTCACAGAAAATATATTGTCAATACAACCCAAGAGTTTACAGAAAGATGTAGAGAAGATACTCTGGCAAGCTTATGAAGAATTAAGTCCCTATATAACAAGACTTTTATGTCTCAGGGAACAACTGGCTTTCTATTCCATGTAATATTACTGCTCCAAATGATATCACTTATGATTTCATTCCTTTTGATTAGACAATTGCTCCTAATTAGGAAGGCTTATTAAAAAGAGATAAAAATCATTAGTTAACAGGGTGTGAACTTATTTACTGGGTTTTTCTAACATACCAAGAAGGTAAACAGAGCAGTGTTTGAAGAGAATATGGGTCTCTGGGTACTTAGAAATAACAGATACTGAAAAGATAATGAATGTCAAAATATAAATGTCAATTTTCACAGTCTTGGGAAGGGTAAAAACCATATGTGCATATATATATATACATACATACATATGATCACAGAGTAGTACCATGGAGATGAACCTATAATGCATCCAGTTGGACAAGAGTTGAGTTTTACATACATGCCATAGGTCATAAAATTTCAAAAATGAATACCGATTTTACCTGTCATCAGTTTGCCTATTCACCTGTGGATGCCTTTTCTTCTAGGGATATTCAACATAAATCAAAATTAGATTAATTGTATTTATAAACTAGGATGTTTCTCAGAAGCAAAGAGACTGCTGACATCCATCCTTTTCTGCACTTTCTCAAAGACTAATTTCTCAACTAAAAAGTGAAAGAAACATAAACAAAAAATTCTGTCTTTGGTTGTTATTTAATATTGAATTTTAGAGTTCTTCGCACTCTATCAAAAAAGCAAGACACATGTTTACAATTATTAGAAATACGTGGTCAAGCCCACTGAAACACTACTATCAAATTAGATAATATGACTTATAACATTTAGCTTATTCTTACTTACTGTTGACTTTAGTTTCTTTTAGGTATATCTTTGGAATTCCTCCCCTGATCCTTGTTCTGTTGCCAGTAGCATCATCTGATTGTGAGATTGAAGGTAAAAATGGTGAAGAATATCAGCATGTTATAATGGTCAGCTTCAAGGAGTTGGTATGTACTTCTTTTGCTTTTCTCACACTTTAATTCATTGGAAACATTTGATAGATACTGTCACTATGCAGTATTTATTCTAGTATCCATTTGTAGTTCTTGAAAGTGAAATAACTAAAGAATAAAATTCATTGAGCTACTATGTGTTTTCAGAGCCAGCATCATTATATCCTTTAAAAATATTTCTTTCCTAGACTTTCAGACCCCCACAACCATCCATTTAAACTGTACTGTCGTTCATTATCAAATTTCTTGCAAGCATAATTTAGCATAGCTGTGTGCATTTCCTTGCCTCCCATTAACAGCTAGTCTCTATAGAAGCATTATACGAAGAGGGAGAAAATAACAGAATATCACATTTAAAAATTATCATGAAAAGAGATAGTTATTTTATTTTATCTGAATATGTGTACATGCATATGTTATGTACATATTTTTATACATATGCATATATAATTTGTTATGAGTTAATTTTTCTATTTACTTTGGTCAATTTAAAAAAATTTATTGTTCATATACATTTGTCTCCATTTTTGCACCACCACTTTCCCCTGCCTCACCCACCCCCACCTCTCACCCTCAACCCTTCTCCACTTTGGCTTTGTCATGTTCCTTTATACATGTTCCTTGTTTTGACCCTTCCCCTTCTTTTTCCCATTACTGCCCTCCCACCTTCCCTCTTGATACTGTCAGTGTGTCTTTTTTTCTTTCAATGTTGCTGGTTATATTTTGCTTGTTTGTCCATTTTGTTGATTAGGTTCTACTTATAGGTGAGGTCATATGGTATTTCACTTTCACCCCCTGGCTTATTTCACTTAGCATAATGCTCTCCAGTTCCATCCATCCTGTTGCAAAAGGTAGTTGCTCTTTCTTTTTTATGCTGCATACTATTCCATTGTATAAATGTACCATAGTTTTTTGATCCACTCCTTTACTGATGGGCATTTAGGTTGCTTCCAGCAGTTGGTTATTGTAAATTGTGCTGCTATGAACATTGGGGTGCATACGTTCTTTTGAACTAGAGTTTTGGGATTCTTAGGGTATAATTCCAGAAGTGGAATCACTGGGTCAAAAGGCAGTTCCATTTTTAGCTTTTTGAAGAAATTCTAAAATGTTTTCCGCAAGGTCTATACCAGTCTGCATTCCCACCAACAGTGTGCTAAGGTTCCCTTTTCTCCACAACCTTGCTAGCACTTGTTTATTGATTTGTTTATGATGGCCATTCTGACTGGTGTGAAGTGGTACCTCATTGTGGATTTAATTTGCATTTCTCTGATGGTTAGTGATGCTGAGATCCTTTCATATGCTTCTGAACCCTGTGTATATCCTCTCTGGAGAAGTGTCTGTTCAGGTCTTTTACCCATTTTTAATTGGATTGTCTGTCTTCTGGGAGTGGAGTCATGTGAGTTCGTAATATATTTTGAGGATCAAACCCCTGTCTGAGGTATCATTGGCAAATATATTTTCCCATATGGTTGATTCCTTTTTTGTTTTGCTGTTGCTTTCTTTAGCCATGCAGGAATATTTTATTTTGATGAAGCCCCATATGTCTATTTTTTCCTTTATGTCCCTTGCTCTAGGGGACATTACAGTGAAAACACTGCTGCACGAGATATCTGAGAGTTTCCTGCCAATGTTCTCCTCCAGGACTTTTATGATGTCATGACTTATATTTAAGTCTTTTATCCATCTTGAGTTTATTTTTGTGTATGATGTCAGGTGATGATCCAATTTCAAATTTTTGCATGTAGCTGTCCAGATCTCCCAACACCATTGGTTGAAGAGGTTATTTTTACTCCAGTTTATGCTTCTGCATCCTTTGTCAAATATTAATTAACCATAGGGACATGGGTTTATTTCTGGGCTCTCTATTCTGTTCCACTAATCTATGTGTTCTTATGCCAGCTCCAGACTGTTTTGATTACAGTAGCCTTGTTATATAGTTTGATGTAAGGTATCGTGTTCCCTCCTATTTTGTTCTCCTTTCTCAAAATAGCTGCAGCTACTCGGGGTCATTTATGTTTCCATATAAATTTTGGAAATGTTTGTTTTATATCTGTGAAATGTGTAATTGGTAATTTAATAGAGATTGTGTTGAATCTATAAATTGCTTTGGGTAGTATGTACATTTTGATGATGTCAGTTCTTCCAATCCATGAGCATGGCATATGCTTCCATTTATTTGTATCTTCCTTAATAGTTTTCTGCATACAGGTCTTTTACCTCCTTGTTTAGGTTTACTCTTAGACATTTTATTTTTTTTGTTGCTATAGCAAAGGGGATTATTTTCCTGATTTCTAATTCTGATAATTCATTGTTAGTGTACAAAAATGCCTTTGACTTCTGAATATTGACTTTGTATCCTGCCGTTTTGCCAAATTCACTTATTAGGTCAAGTAGTTTTCTTGTGAAGTCTATAGGGTTTTCTATGTACAGTATCATATCATCTGCAAACAATGACAGTTTTACTTCCTCCTTTCCAATTTGGATGCCTTTTATCTCTTTCTTGTCTGATCGCTGTGGCTAGGACTTCCAATACTATGTTGAATAGAAGTGGTGAAAATGGACAGCCTTGTCTTGTCCCTGATCTTAGTGGGGAAGATTTTAGTTTTAGCCCATTGAGTATGATGCTAGCTACAGGTTTTTCATATATGGCCTTTATTATATTGAGGTATGCCCCCTTTATTCACACTTTGCTAAGTGTTTTTATCATAAATGGGTGCTCTACCATATCAAATGCTTTTTCCTCATCTATTGAGATGATCAAGTGGTTTTTGTCTTCTGTATTACTTTTATTGATTTGCAAATATTGAACCATCCTTGCATCCCTGGGATGAATCCCACTTGATCATGGTGTATGATCTTTTTAATGTATTGCTGGATGCAGTTTGCCAATATCTTGTTGAGGATTTTAGCATCTCTGTTCATCTATGATATTGGCCTGTAGATTTCTTTCTTGGTTGTGTCTTTATTTGGTTTTAGGATCAGGATGATGCTGGCCTCATAAAAAGAGTTTGGGAGTCTTCCCTCTACTTGGATTTTTTTGGAATAGTCTGAGAAAGACAGGGGTTAGTTCGTCCTTAAATGCTTTGTAAAATCCTCCTGTGAAACTCTCTGGTTGAGGGCTTTTGTGTGCCAAGAGTTTATTGATTACTGCTTCCATTTCACCAGCTGTTATTGGCCTGTTCAGGCTTTATGATTCTTTTTCATTCAGCATTGGAAGGTTATATTTTCTAGAAGTTTTTCTATTTCACCCAGGTGTTCAATGGCACAATAGTAATTTACAACAATCCTTTGTATTTCTATGGTATCAGTTGTTACATTCATTTCTGATATTATTTATTTGGGTCCTTTCCCTCATCTTCTTGATGAGTTTGCTTAAAGGCTTGTCAATTTTGTTTATCTTTTCAAAGAACCAGCTCCTCGATTTGTTGATCTTTTGAATTGTTCTTTTAGTCTCTATGTCATTCAGTTCTGCTCTGATTTTATGATTTCCTTCCTTCTACTTGCTCTGGGCTTTGTTTGTTGTTGTTTCTCCAGTTCTTGAAGATGTAGACTTAGGTCATTTATTTGAAATGTTTCTATCTTTTTAAGGTAGGATTGTATTGCTATGACTTTCCTTCTCAGGACTGCCTTCACTCTCTCCCATAGGTTTTGGACTGTTTGTTGTGTGTTCATTTTCATTTGTTTCCAGAAACTTTCTGTTTTCTTCTTTGATATCTTCATTGACCCATTCAAGGTTTAATAGCATGCTATTCAGTCTCCATGATTTTAAATGTTTTTGAGTTTTTTCTTTGAGGTTGGTTTCTAATTTCAAGCTCTTGTGGTCTGAGAAAACGCTTGTTATGATTTCAATTTTCTTGAGTTTGCTGAGGCTTGTTTTGTGTCCGATCATGTGGTCTATCTTTGAAAATATTCCATGTGCGTTTGAAAAAACATGTATTTTGCTTCTTTGGGATGAAAGGTTATATATATATGTGTGTGTGTGTGTGCATATATATACACATTCAGTTAAGTACACTTGATCTAATGTGTCATTCAGTTCCATAATATCATTGTTGATGTTTTGTTTGGAAGATCTCTTCATTGTTGACCATGGGGTGTTAAAATCCCCTACTATCACGTGTTGCTGTGTATATCTTTCTTGAAGTCCTCCAAGAATTTCCTTATATATTTGGGTTCTCCTCTGTTGGGTAGATATGGATTTACAATGTGTGTCTTCTTGATGGGTTCTTCCTTTGAGTATTATGTAGTGTCCTTCTGGGTCTCTTTCTTTGGCCTTTGTTTTGAAATCTATTTGGTCTGATATAAGTATTGCTACCCTGCTTTCTTTTTCCTGTCCATTTCCTTGGAATATTTTTTCTATCCCTTTACTTTCAGTTTGTGTAGGTCCTTTGTTATAAGTGGGGTCTCTTGTAAGCAGGATGTGTGGATAATGTTTTCTTATCCATTCAGCTGTCCTGTGTCTTTTGATTGGAGCATTTAATCCATTTACATTTAAAGCAATTATTGATAGGTACTTATTCATTTTTTCCCGTTGTATCTGTGTTCTTCTCTTTCTCACTCTTTTCCTTTATCTTCTTAAAACAGTCCCTTCAGCATACTTTGCAGTGCTGATTTGGTGGAATTGTATTCTTTTAGCCTTCTTTTGTCTGGGAAATTCCTTATTTCACCTTTCATTTTAATTGAGAGCCTTGATGGGTAGAGCACTCTTGGTTGCAGGCCTTTGCTTTTCATTCCTTAAAATCTTTCTTGCCATTCCGTTCCGGCTTGTAGTGTTTCTGTTAAGAAGTCAGCAGCTAGCTATATCAGGGCCTATCTTGTATGTTACTACCTGTTTCTCCCTTGCTGCCTTTAGGATTCTCTGTTTGTCTATGATATTTGCCATTTTAATGATGATGTGTCTTGGAGTGGGCCTCATTGGGTTCCTCTTAAATGGGACCCTCTATGCTTCATGGACTTGTGTGACTTTTTCTCTCCTCCAATTAAGGAAGTTTTCC